CTGTTAAAAGAGAATATAAAGAAGAAAAAAAAGAAAGAAAATGAACAACATAATTAAAAAATGGGCAAAAGACCTAACCAGACACCTCACCAAAGAAGATATATGGGATGGCAAATAAGCATCTGAAAAGATGCTCCACATCACGTTATGAAGGAAATACAAACGAAAACAACAATGAGATAGCGCTGCACACCCATCAGAATGGCCAAAATCTAGAACACTGCCAACACCAAATACAGGTGCGGATGTGGAGCAACAGAACTCTCATTCACTGCTGGTGGGGATGCAACGCGGTACAGCCACTTTGGAAGAGTTTTGGTTTTCTTACTAAACTAAAATACTCTCACCGTATGACCCAGCAATCATGCTCCTTGGTATTGATCCAAATGAACTGAAAATGTATGTTGACATAAAAACCTGCACATAAATGTTTATAGCAGCTTTATTCATAATTGACAAACTATAAGCAACCAACATGTCCTTCAGTACGTGAATGGGTAAATAAAGTGTGGTACATCCCCACATGGAGTATTACTCAAAACTAAAAAGAAATGAGCTATCAAGCCATGAAAAGACATACAGGAACCTTAAATGCATATTGCTAGGTGAATGAAGCCAATCTGAAAAGGCTACATACTGTATGATTGCAACTCTATGACATTCTAGAAGAGGCAAAACCATTGAGACAGTAAAAAAAAATATAACTAATTACAAACTTTTTGTTATGCTTTTTGGCCATAAATATATGAAGAAATTTGGAAAAAAACCCTTTCACATTTATGACCTAGTTATTTTTCTGACCCCACATTCTATTGTGGTAATTAATTAAAATCAGGGCTCACAATGTCCCTATAAAAAATAGTAAAATTGCAAAATAAAGATAATAAGTGACATGTTGACTATCCTGTCCACCAACAATTCTGTCATGCTCAGGTCCCGAGGCTTCCTAACTCTATAAAGAGATATTTTAACTGAGTCCTGGAAAGGACTCCAGGACTCAATCCACCAAAGGAAAATAAAACTTAACATAAAAACTGTGTTATTTAAAAATGTGAGTGACGATCATCTTAAACAAATGCTCAAGTTAAAAGTACCAACAGCAAAGTAGACATCATGTGTCTCCTGATCTGATCACAGCAGAGCTTCCCTCTAATCCTGAGGAATCATCAAACGAATCTAAGTTGAGGGGCATTTTACCAACCAACCAACCAACCAACCATTCTGTGTTCTTCAAATTCTGAAAGACCAAGACTGAGGAACTGTTTGAGTTAAAGGAGACAAAGAGGACAACTAAATTTAATGTGTGATTCTGGGATTGGATCCCAGACTTGGGGGGAGGGTGGTGGTAAAAAAGCATTTTTCCCTAGGAAAAAAAATGAGTGGGGCAAATGACAAAATTTGAGTGCTTGCAGATTAGTCAATAGTACTTTCTCAATGTTAATTTCCTGATTATGATAAATGTCCTTGTTTTTAAGAAGTACACACTGAAGTTCTTGATGGTTAAAGGTACATCATGTCTATAAACTTATTCTCAAATGTTTCAAAAAACAGACATGTTACAGCAAATACGGTAAGTAAAAAATATTTACACTATTTTTATAAATCTATAATTTCAAGATAAAAGTTTTTTTAAAAGTACAATATAAAAACATCAAAAACTCATTTAATTTTCATCTAAAACATAAAGAAAACAGAACTAGTCTTTTTGATATACTGAATAATATCCATTTTAAGATTATAGGATTGAAATCTAGAGCCCTAAAGTGTCATTCTGATCTCTATACTTAAAGCTTAGGATATTAGAAAAGCTACAGCGTGGGAAATAAGCAAATGTGGTCTGGAGTTAGCCCATAAAAAACAGTCACTGTTACTTAAGAGTTGCATTTTTATAGAAAATAAAATCTCTTTAGTACCTTTTTACATGAAAATGCCCAAGATTGTGCAATGTATGGTTCTGAAATGTTACTTGATCTGGTTATGCTTCACCAAAGTAAAATATGAAAATGTTCTTTCCTAGAACAACATTTAATTCTGTAAGACATCCAAAAAACCACAAGCAAAGAGCAATGCTTAAATACAACAAGCCCAGTTAGGCCTCCTAATAATGTAGTTTACAGCACTTTGATGATAAAATTACAACATTTCCAGAGCAACTTTTTACTAATTTATTTTCTTACGTGCTTAACAAACTTAATAAAAAACACCCCACCACCATGAGATTATGATGAGCAGGTTAAATTTATGGACTATCTAAAATATTCCATGTATTCCTTTCCAATCTTCCTGTTTTCTTTTTTTAGAAAAAGCTTGTTACCAGATTCACTGGTTGATATAAAATATCAAGAAATTAAACTAATAATAAATGTTTAGAACCAATATGAAGAAAAATTATAAAAATTTACAATTGGGCATAAAAGAAGTCTTGAATAACTGAAGAGATACCAGCATGTTTTCGGATGAAAAGTCAAAATATTATAGAGGATGCCACTATCCTCCAAAGATTCAAAGTCCCAATAGGAACGTTTGATTTTGAAAATGTAACTCTCTTAAAGTGGTTCTAGATTTCTTTTATTTTAAGGGTCCAATTTAAACACTAATAAAAGATATGGATCTCCTTCAGAAAAATGTACCAAGTCATATACACGCAAAATTTTATATAAAATTTCAAGATCCTCAGAGGGCCCCTAAGCCCATTCATATTATCTCTATGCCCCAGATTCGTGAAATGCAAGTGTTGGGCTGTTGTGTAGAAGAAGAAATAAGTAAAAGAGCCAAGAAGACTTTGAGAAAGAGTAATCAGGAGGAATTTAAGCGTGTGTTATTAAAATACATAAGGCTGTCACAAGAACAGTGCATGGTATTGGAAGAAGAACAGACATATGAATTGATTCCCAGGTTTTGGCTTGCATACAAGGTGATGTCATTCACTGAGGCAGGGAACAGGAAAGAGCAGCGGGGCGGGCTGGGGAAGAGCAAGATTTGCAATTTGGACATGTTGACTTTGAGATGACTCTGAGAACTCAAAAGATGATTATCAAGCATCTGACTGGGCAAAGTGGTCTCAGGAGTCTGAGGATGGGTCTGGCCTGGAGATGTATGTTGAATAGACAGGAGTGGCTGAGATCACCAACAGAAGGAGTAGAGAAGGAAGGAAGTCTAGGGGTAACCTTGAGAAAGACCAGCATTTAATAGTTTCATAAAACTAGATGGAGGATGATAAACCTGCATAGAATTTTGAGGAGTGGCCAAAAAAACAAATAAAAGAAGAAACCGAGAAGAGATTGCTTGGAGGAAAGACTAGTTAACAGTATAAAATACAATTAAGAGGGCAAGTAAGATGGAAAATGACCACTGGATTTAGCAATGTTGAAGTCATCACTAACCAAGAGTCTTTTTTGTTAGAAACTTCAAAAATTATCATTCATTAAAACACAACCCCAGATATAAGACCTATCTTTAATTCCACTGATTAGCTCATTTACATGCATTAAATACCATTAAGTTTCCAAGAGAGATTTGTGCAAACCAAAACATTTATAAAATAGCTCACACACAGTTTACACAGCATAAAACTTCCAATACAGTGTGGCTCTCCAAGGCTCTCCAAGAAAATAAGCACAGGGGAATCTGGGATGCACGTCAGGAAACTGCACACAGTGGTGGAAGCACAACCCCTGAATCATTTAACTCACTGGCAGCTGAAGCCATTTTTCCTGGAGCTAAATCTATTGCCAGCAATGAAGATCCTGGGAATCTCTAGTATAAAGGATTAACAGACTGGCCCCAGCACTGGAAAATACATTGAAAGGAACAATCCCGTACTCGCTCAGAAGGGATGAAATGACCTAATATCCCACTGCCAGATCTAGAAAGGAACAGAGATGGCAATAACAATAAAAAAGGGCCTCTTTCACGATAAAAGGTTACAATATAAACTTCTTTTCTGTGATTTGTTTTATCTCAGTTGCTAAAGAAATTCAAAATAAGAAAATTCCCTAGACTTGTAACATATAACATTTTAATCAATTAGAATTTCTACTGTCATTAATGCTTGAAATTTAATCAAATCCTTTGTTGATTTAAAAATCTTCAAGTACTTGCATCCTAAATTAGCTATTTATTTTGGGATATTAGTCTATCAATAAATATTTAAACATTAATAGAAACTTAAAAGCCAAATATTTTAGATAAGTTTCACAATTTTTTTGTCAAATTATTTGCTTACTGATTTTAAAATATTTGTTATAATCAGATATAAATTTGGTAGCATCTATAGGATTAGTCACATTTTCTTTTAGGGACAAACTTTATTTCCAAGAATGTTTCTGAGAACGTCAATTTGCCTTTGAAGACCTGATCATAGTTTACTTTATAAAATCTCATTTTCCACTTTATAGAAAACAAAGTAGTTTAAAGCACTGATTTTCATATACTACCAAAGTAAAGGGGACAAGGCACTTGGAAATTAATGTCTTTAAGTTCTGTAAACAGTCAGGGTAATATGTACCAGATACCTAAAAATATTAGATTAAGCAGATGAAAATTTACATGGTACTCATTAAATGTACCATCGTCTCTTATTTTAAAGATGATGTTATAATCTATACTAGAGGCCCGGTACATGGATTCATGCACCATTGGAGTCCCTTGGCCTGGCCTGCACCCTCTCGCAATCTGGGACCCCTCGGGGGATGTCAGACTGCTGGTTTCAGCCCGATCCCTGCAGGCCAGGCCGAGGGACCCCATTGGTGCACAAATCCATGCACCTGGCCTCTAGTATGCATATAAAATCTTTGGTTAATCTCTTCCCGCCCTCCTCCCTCCCCTCTGAGATTCATCAGTCTG